GAGAGAGAGAGAGAGAGAGAGAGAGAGAGAGAGAGGTCTTCCATCCGCTGTTTCACTCCCCAGTTGGCCACAATGGCCATTGCTGCACCAATTCGAAGCCAGGAGCCAGGAGCTTCTTCCAGGTCTCCCATGCAGGTGCAGAGGCCCAAGGACTTGGGCCATCTTCTACTGCTTTCCCAGGCCATAGCAGAGAGCTGGATCAGAAGAGGAGCAGCCTGGACTAGAACCGGCGGCCATATGGGATGCCGGCACCACAGGCCAGGGCATTAACCCGCTGCGCCACAGCACCGACCCCCCAACAAAGTCTTGAGAAAAGTATAGTATGAGGAAAAGAAAACAGAATTGCTTTGGCAGCGGAGGCCCTGGCTCTGCCTTGTGGTTAGCTGTGTGGCCCAGGCGACCTGCTTAAAGACTTCACTGGAACACGGATGTAAGCAGGAGGCGGTGTGATCCCTGGAGGTCTCTCAGCAGAAGGAAGTTATGTGGGCAGTTTCTGTACAATACTGTGCCCAGCATTTTGTGGAGTACCCATTATTTTTAAGTACCCATAAGAAATGTATGAAAATTGCATACACGGAACCCTAAAGCAAGCCCGAAGACATTTAAAAGGATTGAAATCTCTCAGAGGGTGTATTTTGGCCACAATGCTATCGAGTTGAAAATGAATAGCAAAGGGATAACTTAGTTTGCAAAATACGTAGCATTAGTCTAAATAAAACAAAGCCTACAATGGAAATGCAACAGTATTTTTAACCGAATAAAAACAATATTTCATTCAAAATGGTGGTAGGTAGTAAAATTTGGATTTATAGAGGAGGCTATATCCTTGGAAGCATGTAGAGATGACAGTTAATGAACTTACAATCTGTGTCAAGAAATTAGGGAAACATCATCAACCATGAAACAGACCAAAGGAAATAGAAACAGTCATAAAGATAAGTGTAGAAAGCAACGAAGGGGAAGCCAAACAGAAGCTAGAAGGGATCAGCATAGCCGTATCTGTTTACTGAAAAGGCTAATGAAATCGATAATACCCTGGTTCCAAAGAAGCTCGAAACAGGCAGTACTGGGAATCAAAACGAGAACATCAAACTCAGAGCTACAGGCGTGGGAGCAAAAGGAAGGACAATGGCAAGTATATGGTAAATACTTGAGTTTTAGCCAGCGCCGTGGCTCACTAGGCTAATCCTCTGCCTGCAGCACCAGCACCCCAGGTTCTGGCCCCAGTTGGGGCACCGGATTCTGTCCCAGTTGCTCCTCTTCCAGTCCAGCTCTCTGCTGTGGCCTGGGAAGGCAGTGGAGGATGGCCCAGGTCCTTGGGCCCCGCACCCGCATGGGAGACTGGGAGGAAGTACCTGGCTCCTGGCTTTGTATCGGCGTAGCGCGCCGGCTGTGGCGGCCATTTGGGGGGTGAACCAACAGAAGGAAGACCTTTCTTTCTTTCTCTCTCTCTCTCACTGTCTAACTCTGCCTGTCAAAAAAAATTTAAAAAAATACTTGAGTTTAGAGAGAAGAACTTATAAGAGTATCAGTTTGCAAAAGGGATGGAAGAAGTAGAAATCCTGGGCAGGGCAGGCGCTATAGCACAGCAGGTTAAGCTGCCCTCGGGATGGCCACAATCCCCACCCGAGTGCCTGGGATTGACGCTCACCCATGAGTCTGGTCCAGCTTTCTGATACTCTGCCCTAGAGGCAGCAGATGACGGCTCAAGTACTTGGGTTCCTGCCACCCGTGTGGGAGACCTGACTGGAGGTACAGGTTCCTGGCTTTGGCCTGGCCCTGCCCTGGCTGGTGTGGGCCTTTAGGGAGTGAATCAGTAGATGGTAGTGCTCTCC